GGCCATATGATAGGCCACAAAACAAGTCTCAATAAATTTAAGAACATTGAAATTATATCAAGTACTCTCTCAGACCAGAGTGGAATAAAATTGCAAATCAAAAGAAACCCTCAAAACCATGCAAATACATGGGAATTAAATAACCTGCTCCTGAATGATTGTTGGGTCAATAATGAAATGAAGATGGAAATTTAAAAATTCTTTGAACTAAATGACAATAGTGACACAACCTATCAAAACCCCAGGGATACAGCAAAGGCTGTCCTAAGAGGAAAGTTCATAGCCTTAAATGCCTATGTCAAAAAGTCTGAAAGAGCACAAATAGACAATCTAAGGTAACTCCTCAAAGAACTAGAGACATAAGAACAAACCAAACCCAAACACAGCAGAAGAAAAGAAATAACAAAGATCCAAGCAGATCAAAGTGAAATTGTAACAACAACAAAAAACAATACAAAAGGTAAATGAAACAAAAGGCTGGTTCTTTGAAAAGATAAAGTTGATAAACCATTGGTAAGATTAACCAAGAAGAGAAGAGTGAGGATCCAAATAAGCTCAATTAGAAACCAAGCAGGAGATATAACTGATAATGCAGAAGTACAAAAGATCATTCAAGGCTTCTAAGAATACCTTTATGTATATCAACTAGAAAATCTAGAGATAGATAAATTCCCAGAAATATACAACCCTTCTAGATTAAACGAGGAAGAAACAGAAACTCTGAACAGACCAATAACAAGCAGCAAGATCAAAATGGTAACTTTAAAATTGCCAATAAAAACAAAAAAAAGTCCAGGATCAGAAGGATTCACAGCTGAATTCTATCAGACATTCAAAAAATTGGTCCCAAGCCTATTAACACTATTCCACAAGAGAGAGAAAAAGAGAATTCTCCCTAAAACATTCAATGAAGCTAATATCACCTGAATACCCAAACTAGAAAAAGACATAAAAATAAAAGGAAACTATAGACCCTGATGAATACAGATGCAAAAATCCTCAACAAAATACTAGCTAAGCAAATCCAACAGTATATCAAAAAGATAATCCACCACGATCAAGTGGGTTTCATACCAGGGATGCAGAGATGTTTTAACATATGTAAGTCAATAATGTAATATACCACCAATGGTATTAAAAACAAAAATCACATGATCATCCCAACAGACACAGAACAAGGATTTGAGAAAATCCAGCATTCCTTCATGGTTAAAACCCTCAGCAAAATCAGGATAGCAGGGACATACCTTAATGTAATAAGAGCCATCTATGACAAACTGACAACCAACATGATACTGAATGGAGAAAAGTTGGAAGTATTCCCCCTGAGAATTCGAACAAGACAAGGATGCCCAATGATACCACTTTTATTCAATATAGTACTGGAAGTCCTCGCCAGAGCAATGGTACAAGATAAAGAAATAAAGGGCATCCAAATTGATAAAGAGGAAGTTACACTGTTGTTGTTTGCTGATAATATGATCATACGCCTAGAAAACCCAAAAGCCTCCTCCAAAAAGCTCCTAGAACTAATAAATAAATTCAGAAAATTTTCAGGATACAAAATTAATGTACACAAATTAGTAGCTCTGCTATACACCAACAGCCACAAAGCTGAGAGTCAAATCAAGAACTCAGCCCCTTTTACAATAGCTGCAAATAAAATAAAATACTTATGAATATATTTAACCAAGAAGGTGAAAGACCTTTACAAGTAAAACTACAAAACACCGATGAAAGAAATCATAGACAACACCAACAAATGGAAGGACATCCCATGCTCATGGATGGATAGAATCAATATTGTGAAAATGACCATACTGCCAAAAGCAATATAGAAATTCAATATAATTCTCATGCACATATCACCATCATTCTTCACAGAACTAGAAAAAAAAATCTAAAATTTGTATGAAACCAAAAAAGAGCTCATGTAGCCAATGCAAGAATAAGCAGAAAGAACAAATCTGAAGGCATCACATTACCTGACTTCAAACTGTAAGTCCATAGTCACAAAAACAGCATGGTACTGGTATAAAAATAGGCACATAAAGCAATGGAACAGAGTAGAGAATCCAGAAATAAAGCCAAATACAGCCAACTGATCTACAACAAAGCAAACAAAAACATTAAGTGGGGAAAGAACACCTTATACAAAAAACGGTGCTGGGATAATTGGCAAGCCACATGTAAAAGAATGAAACTGGATCCTCATCTCTAACCTTATACAAAAATCAATTCAAGATAGATCAAGGGCTTAAACTTAAGATCTGACACCATAAAAGCTCTAGAACATATATATATATATATATATAAAAACCCTTCCAGACATTGGCTTAGGCAAAGAATTCATGACCAAAAATTCCAAAGCAAATGCAGCAAAAACAAAGATAAATAGATGGGACTTAAAACGAAAAGCTTCTGGCACAGCAAAAGAAACAATCAGCAGAGTAAACAGACAACCCAAAGTGTGGGAGAAAATCTTTACAATCTATACATCTGACAAAGGAGTAATATCCAGAATCTACATGAAACTAAGTCAGCAAGAAAAAACATACTGTCAAAAAGTGGACAAGAGACAATTCTCAAAAGATATACAAATGGCCAACAAACACATAAAAATGCTCATTACTCATGATCAGGGAAATGCAAATCAAAACCGCAATGTAAGAACTTACTCCTGCAAGAATGGCCACAATAACACAGTAACAGATGTTGGCTTGGATGTGGTTGAAAAGGGAACACCTTTACACTGCTGGATGGAATGCAAACTAGTACAACCACTATGGAAAACACTGTGGAGAGTCCTTTAAGAACTAAAAATAGAACTATCATTTGATCCAGCAATCCCAATACTCGGTATGTACCCAGAAGAAAATAAATCACTATATGAAAAAGATGTTTACACACATATGTCTATAGCAGTATAATTCATAATTGCAAAAATATGAAACCAGCCCACATTCCCATCAATCAACAAGTAGATAAAGAAACTGTGCACGTTTTAGTTATATGGTGAGTGATGCAGATAGTAATTGCTGACGTAGGCAGGAAATAATTACATAATAACTTCTTATTTCACTTTCCTGTCTGCCCTGATGTTTAGAGCCGTCCCCACTTGGCAGTTATCAAAGGCTGCACTTAATATGTCCCATTTTCTAAATCTGCTTTTCTCTTCTCCAGGGTTCCATAATTACGCAAATAATATCACCGACCACCCAGGTATCAAAGAAGACACCTAATGACCCTCGCCTACCACCCACCTCTAATATCTCTTGAATCTATTCACACCGTTCCACCTCTTTGCCATCATTCAGACCACAGTTCTGTGATGTTGCCTGAATGCCCACCAGAGCCTTCCTTGACCCTCCCCCTCCCCAAGCCAGTCTCTAAACAATAACTGTGAAAGTTCTGAAGAGCAACTCTGAGTATCAGCTGTGCAGAAGATAGAGACAGTATGTTATGAAAAAGCCTAAATAGTGGACTGTATGTGGTCTTGGTCTCATAAAGTTTTTGAATTTCAGCCATGTAACCTTGGGCAGATTAACTCTGAGCCTAACCCACACTCCGCATGGCAGTGAATATACCACTCTACAGTTGAGAAGTAAATGTGGAGCCCAAGGGAAGTGACACCCTAAGACTGGAGCAGAGGGCAGTACACAGGGTTCTTCACATGGTCCTGGAGCCATGGTTAAGTCTTGAGAATTGTGCGTAGTGGCTACGTAATAGTGTGTACACATTTACATGCTAATGTGAAGGTGTCTTAAGCACTGATCACACATTCTCAGAAGGTCACATTCACCCTCTTATGGTAAAGGCTATAGTCACTTCTCTCATGTCTGTGCTGAGACACAGACTAAACACAAACAAGAGGCCAAACATACTTTGTCTCCAGAAGGAATGGGTAGATGTCGGTTCTGCTCACCTACCTTCATTCATTCATTTAACTAATGAATATTTTGTATGCGTCAACTGGGCATGAGAAGATGGATAAAGTAGAGGCTTTTTAAAAACAGTTTTGTTGCCCATGCTGGAGTGCAATGGTGTTATCTCAGCTCACTGCAACCTCCGCCTCTTCAGTTTAAGCAGTTCTCCTGTCTCCATCTACTGAGTAGCTGGGACCACAGGCAAGTGCCACGACGCCTGGCTAATTTTCGTATTTTTAGTAGAGATGGGGTTTCATCATATTGGTCAGGCTGGTCTCAAACTCCTGACTTCAGGTGATCTGCCCACCTCGGCCTCCCAAAGTGCTGGGTTTACAGGTGTGAGCCACCATGCCTGGCCAAGTAGAGTTTTAATGAAAGGGGAAATGAATTAAAAATGGGACCAAAGATTACTTCTGTGTCTCTAGTTGGCAATACTTCCATCTCAGAAGAAACTCTGCTTCTCACCAGTCTTTTGAAAGGTGCTCATTTACCTGGGTCTTTATGGGCTGAAGCTGGATGACTAAGGGTGCCTTCAGTGCCCTCAAAAGTAATTTTCCTTCAAGATTATGTTCTTTTAATGGAGACAGGCTGGACCTTGAATCAGTAGGTTTCTGCACAAATTATTATGAGAATAAGAGCTAAATCCTTAGAGAAGAGATTTTCAGGATGTAGAAAAATCAGTGTTTCATTAGACCATTCAAGGGCTGCAAGATTGATATTTGAAAGTTGAAAAGAAAAATGCAAATAACTAATAACTTCAACTTGGCTCATTAGAGACTGAAGTTGCTCAGAAATAGTCTCCTTACCACCAATCTGTCAGTGCCCCTCGTTCTGGCTTTATACCTCCAAATCTTCTATCTTCTCTCCTGTTATCTTGATCCATCAGTGCTTCTGTTCTACATAGCCAAGCAGCTCACAGCCTCTTCTCCAGTTTCTGGACGATGCTCTCTCATTGAGGCCTAGATCTTCTCAAGCAGGATGGTCAAGAACTGCTCCAGCACCAGAAGCTTCGGAATCTCTCTGTTGTGCATTCTATTAACATCCTTTTGTGGGCAGACACCAGACACTCCATCATTTAAAAGTAAAAACCATCCTGGTGATGTATTTCACAAATATAAGATTGACTACAGGAACTAATGAATTTCTATTTTCTTTGAACATCTTATATGGAATAGGTGAATCTGTGACTACAATACGCACAGCTTACACTTTCACCAGTCATCCACATAATAAACATGCCTTCAAAGAATTCAAACCTGACCACGTGCCTTCCAGCCAAGAAAGGGACTGTAAATTTTAGGATATGAAAGAAAGGTAAGGAGCTGTTGTGGCTATAACCCACAGAAATGAGCTGGAACCTGTCTTCTCTACCCAGCAGACTAATCCGCCAATAGTAGACTTCAACACTAAGGAATCACAGTCCATATTGTTCACTTTTCCAGGTGTTTCTCCTTAAGTTCACTGAGTCAGTTCCATCAGTTCAGTGATGACCTTAAACCCAGACATCTCTTCAGGTGATTTCAACATGGGCTTTATGTTGCTTTACTCTCTTCTTTTCCTTCACTCTCATGGTGACTTGTTATTCTGATTTGCTTCATGTTTCCTCGGTTTTCTTTACTCTTCTGCTTCTGCTGCCAATTCACACAGTCACCATAGGCTACACCTATCCTTTCAATATTCAAAGGCACTGCTTTACCTCTGGTTTTTCCTTTATAGCATTCTCCTTCAGTATCCATGCCTGACCCTTCTCACCTGCACACAATCCGATCCAGTTTTACACCAATGCTAAGGTTTTTAGTCTCTTACCACCTATGTTTTGTTTAGATCATTCTTACTTCATAGGCCGTGTCTCTAGTTGGAACTACGGAGTCAGCACCATTCTACAGTTACTATGACATTGCTTGCATTTTTAAAATGGCATTCTCCAGGGAATTTTTTAAGAGATAGGATTTCATTCTTTAAATGCACAAAATAGTCAATTGAACAAGTAAATTATTTCCTGTGTCTGATACAAAATATGACATAAAGGTACTACAGTTCAACATTTTCACAGATAATTTTTAACATTATTTGTTACAATAGTCTTTGAAATTCCATATAAATATCTGATTTTTAAAAGTATTAATTGATTAATAACTTCATTACATATATCAGATTTGCTTTGGGAGGGTACAGCAGCCATGTACAGTTATTATTTTTCTACGTCTTATTTGTGTCTGCACTGTGTCCATTTTATGTGCCTTACTCCGACAGATCGGCATTGTGTTCCAAGTAGAAATGCGCAACAAATCTCCAAAAGTCCAATGGGTCTAGAGAAGCACCTGGGTTACAGGCTCTGTGCAGGTGCCATGCATTGTTCATGGCTGCATCAATCATGTAGCTCACCAAAACTGAGTACCATTTCTTGCTTCTTATCCTCACCCTATATTTTGAAATAATTTGATCCATTTTAGCTACACCTTCCTTGCATTCATCATACACTTTTACTATGGACGGTTGACTTATCTGAGGGATTTCTTCATCATCGGCAGCACAACAGCTTATCTCACTGACTGGTTCTATGCCCACAGCATTGGAGCACAGACTGATAATGTCATCCCCATACCAACGACACAAAATTATCTCTTTGTTTTCCTCTACTTGGAAATCGAAATACCCTCTCTCCATTTTTTTCATATGTTCTACATTCATAAGGGGACATTTTTCAGTCCTGTTCTCAAGAATTGTTCCAGTTGCTCTCACCCCCTTCTTTTTCAAGGCTGACAACAATTTCACACTGGTAAAGAAGCTATCAAAACACAGGTGATAGGGATACTGACCTCTTTCTAAAAGAACATCAGCGAAGTTCATCACTAGATTTCCACCTAACCCGAGGTCAGGATCCTCATCTACCTTCACAGCTGATTCTTCTTGATAGGGCTCAAACCAAACCAGATAACCCTGTGTGGTTGTACCACACCAAATTTTATAGCCAATTCTAATAGGCTTTCCATTCAGGAATTGGTCACTATCAAAGCATTCACACATGGACTTATCAAAGCAATAGTTTTCTTCTAGGGGAGCATACAAGAGGAAATTTTTATTCATTTGTTTTATGAGAGGCCTCAACTTTGTAAACTTATCTTTTTGATCTAGGTGGCCATTATCTGCAAAGTGCAGGTTTGAGAAAATCAATTCAAATCTGTCCCTTCTGATTGCATCTCTAACCAGGTTCTGATCGGTGTCAGAGATTTCCCAATACATTCCCCTTCTAGGACGCCTCATAAATCCACTCAAAAGCAGGACACCAAACACACACCTCATTTCTTGAACTGTGACTTCCAAGCTGACATTTTTCTGAGAAGCATAATTATTGGTTTCCTTGACAATTAAGTTGAATGTTTCATCATCAAAAAATAATTCAAAAAGTTCTACTGGGTTCAACTTTTCACTCTTGAGATTCAAAAGTCCAGAATCCAGCGCTGACCAGCTTGGAAAGTTGGGTTTAATGTCTCTTTTGGTCCAACTGTTTTCTGGGAAACGTGACACCTTTAACTTCTTTAGAGCAGGCTGTGTCTCAGGCTCATTATCTTTTTCCACATCTGAGTCACCAGAGAATGCAAGGCCTTGGAGCAGTTCACTCACTCGAGCTTTGTCTTTTTTTCTCGCTTTTCGAGTAATGTCTCCTGCAGCATATTCCAAGGATGAGATGTGCATCCGGGCCCACAGGTCACCTGGGTGATGGCCCTTCACAGTGTTCAAATGTGCAACTGTCCTTTCAGTAGGGATAGGAGTACTACAAGGAATCTGGAGTGCACACCCTCTGAGAAAGAAAAAAAGAGCATGTTATAAAAATCCTCAGTCATATTCTCTCTCACATGATAAATCTGCTGAAGCTTTAATCTTCTGGGGTTTAGGGTGTGTGTGGGGGTACTTACTTATTTCTCTTGTTTCCATGGGAAGGACTCTGGCTAGATTGAACATTTCTAGCTGCTCTCCACTTCTCACTCACTCTTTATGATAGAACTAACTTGAACCTGGGAGAAAGAACTCGGCATCCTTGGTATGCCCCTCCCTCTGTTCTATTTAGGAGCTCCTGACATTCCATGCCCCCTGTTGCCCCAAGTTGCACTGAGAAGACCTAAGCAGAGGGAAATCTGCTACACTCCTCCTCTGCCAGTACAAGCCTATTTAGCTCTGCCTTTGAGCTGTTTTTAGCCAGTCTAACTTCTGTCTGGAAACTAAGAAACTAAGGTTTCCAGAACCATCTATTTTACTCCCACATCCCTGTCAATTTGTTCTGAACTTGAACAAGAAAAAAAGGTGATATATCAGGTCTCCTCACACCTCTCACAGAGTTTCTGAATGTAAAAGGGTCATCTGATGGACATACTACCCTGGGGAAAAACAAATGAAACTAAACTCATTGCACTTGGAATGATTTTTGAGGCTTACAAGGAAGGAAGCTAAAGTTACAAAGATGAAAAGTATTATTTTACACAAACTTTTTAATTTTTAGATATGTGCATTTAATTTATTAGTGTTCTGTTGGCAAACTAGTCAAGTTTTCAAAGACATTTAACAAGCAAGAAGGGTATATTTTAATATAATTTATACTACATACATTTCTTTACTGAACACATTTATCATCCAGGGTGTCTTCAATGTCTGAATGTGTTCAACACATCCCTCTTAAAGTTCCCTGATATCCATAATGTCAGTGATGTTCCTTGATCACAAAGAGTCTTTCTACTGTTGATATGTAAACTCTAAGATCTACATTGCATTACATCCAATATTGTGAGGGAAGGAAATGGGAGTGAGAAATGGGAGAAAAGAGTGAGCTAAGAAAGTAGGGTGGAGGTGAGAGAGGGGGACTAGAGAGAGGGCAGGGGCTAGATCTTTGATACCATGGTTAAGCTATTGTACCAAACCTGAAATAACCTACCTTCAGACTTTTTGTCATGAGTATTTTTATTCTCATAGGCACTGTGCATTACCTGATAGCTGCCTGATACTAAGTGTACCTCACAGGCACAATAGCAGATTCCTATTCTTCAGCTGTATAACTCTGCTCTAAGTTGCTGAAAGTTATTTCTCTTCCTTTGGTGGAGCTTGGCTCAGTCTTCGCTAATCTTAATGCAAAATGTCATTTCTCTTCTTAAGCTTTAAGATATTTCTATTTTAGCTGAGATTTAGCTCCCAGTTTCTCTAAGATGAACAAATGTCAATAAGGAAAGTTCCCACCCCCTCTCTATTCTTTAGTCAAGTATCCCACCTTGCTTCCTTTCTCCTCTTTTCTCAAGTCTCTGAGGACCAAATGGCTTCACCAGAAGCCAACCCTCTGTTTGTGATTCGCTCCCTCTCTTTCTCCATTCCTGAGAAGCCTCAGAATGTTGGGCCTTCCTGAACCTTCTCCACCTTTTTCAATTTCCTCAGAAGTTTCCTGCTTTGCATATGAGTATCTGTTACAAGTTCATCAATCCCCACAACCAGCACTTAGAAAGCACCGTGACTGTCATTCATTTCTACTTCGTCAGCTGACTTTTTTTTTGACCTGTGCCTAGGCATAGGTGAAGACATGGATGATTTGACCCGTTCAGGTCTCTTAACAGGGGTTGAAAATACAGGTTAATTTCTCCTTATCTGAAATGCTTGGGGCCAGCAGCTTTTGAAGTTTGGATTTTTTTCAGATGTTGGAATATCTGCATTATACCAGTTGAGCATCCCTAATCAAAGATCCAAAAACCAAAATGCCCCAGTGAGCATCTCCTTTGAGCATCGTGCTGGTACTCAAAACAGCTCAGATTCTGGGACATTTCAGATTTGGAATGCTCAACCTGTACCCTGCTTGTCCTCTTCTGCTCTGACATTCCTTCCTTAACTGCCATGGCAGCTTCACCTGCAGCCCTCACTCTTGTTAAATTATCTGCCTTCTGGCTTCTCTATGGCTCCATAAAAATGTAAGGGAGCCCAGGGAAGAGAATCAAGCAGGACAGACTGGATCAGGACAGGCTTCTTGGAGGCAACTGCAAGTCAATTTATGGCATACTGAAAATTTTGAATAGGTCAGTTTCTTGGCATGGACCCCCTATGATCACAGAAGTGAGAGTGGCAGTCGTCCTATCTTATTAGAGGGAAGCAGGCTTTTGACCAACTGGTTTCTTTGATTCCATTCCAATTTTTTATATCTGCAGCATTTGATCCACTGAGGACCATGGACACTCACCTGTTGGGCATTCCTGAGGCCTCTCCACCTTTTTCTATTTCTTCAGAAGTTTCTTGCTTTGCATTAAACAATCTATCTTTAGTTACAATTTCTTCAGCTAAAATATAACATTAATGATTTAAATGTCATCTGTTCTGTGAATTTTGAGGAAAAAAAACAAAAACAAAAGCAAAATTCCAGGGTAGGGAATAGATGTTCCAAATTAAACAAACAAAAAAACACACTAGTGTTTCAAGGGTGCCCAGTTTCAGCAATTTTACAAAACGTAGCATGGTATGGGAAAATGCTAAGAAAGGGTCATTAAAGCACCAAGGCTCAGCTGGAGAAAGGGCCCAACAGGGCAGAGCACATTTCAAGAAAATTAGGCTGGGTGTTTTGGGAGGCTGCGGTGGGACTTCTTCAGGCCAGGAGTTCAAGGCCAGCCTGGGCAACAGTGAGACTCTGTCTACAGAAAAATTTGCTGCGTATAGTCCCAGCTGTTTAGGGGCTGAGGTGGGAGGATTGCTTGAGCCCAGGAGTTTGAGGCTGCCATGAACTATCATAGTGATATTATGCTCCAGTATGGGCAACAGAGTGAGACCCCTATCTCTAAAAAAACTAAAAAAAAAAATTAAATTAAACATGAACAGCAGTGTTCTTAGACAGTGAAGATGACTTCCTCTGAGGTAAAGATAAGATCAGGCAGAGGTGTTCATGGGGCTTCCAAGTATAAAGGGATATCTGAAATGACAAGTTATATGGAATCCTTGATAGGGAAGAAAAAGGATCCTTTTGATCGTTTTTCAGATGACTGAAGGAATCAGGCAACTGGGAGGGATGCTCAGAGAAGATAACCACGAGAATCAGTAAGCTGATTAGCAACAGAAGAAAACGTGATTGGGAAGGATGCAAAATGATAAGAGCTAGAAGTCTGGAGGCAGAGGCCAGAAGAAGCGAAAGGAAGGGTGGGGGTCTGTAGGAAATGCGGGGTCCCAAGGGCCAAGCCGGGTGAGTGATGGGAAAATGAGAGTACAGAGAGAGGCCCAGAGGCCTGGGCTTACTCATCAGGCTGAGGCTCCTAACTGTTTCCTGAGCTGAGTTACCACAGAGGTTCCTCTGAGCCAGACTCAGATGCGGCCACTTCTCTTTAGCAAGGGCCTGGGCTGTTCCTTCCTCAGTCTTCACCAGTGTCTAAAAAGACAAAAAAAGAAAGCCTCTGTTTTCACTGTGGTAAGGAATCCACTTGTGAAGAGTGTTGACTATCACACTGTAGACCAGTAGCTCCAGCCACTCAGGGCATTTTGTAAATTTGTGGGAACCTTTCTGTTCACAACAATGAAGCTCACCACCACCTCATGCCAATGCCATTCAGAGGATGAGGCCAGAAATGCTAGGCATCTTGCAACAGGTGGGACAGTCCCACACTACAAAGAATTCTTCCTCATCCTGCAGGACTTTTGAGTGTCCTGCTGAGCCAAACCTACAATCAATATACATCAACCGCACTGAAACATACAATCCTGAAGAGTTTTTATAGGATGATAACGAAAAAAATCAGTAATTCAAAGTCGATTAAAGACATTGTCACAAAAGTTGGCTCACTCGGACTGTTCCACACACTGTTTTACAGCAGTTTCTATGTATTTGGTTGAACAGCACTTCCATATAATATTGCAGTTGTGACAAATGCAATTAAACTGATTACAAATACATAATGGAGTTTTGGGACTCCTTTTAACAGACATGGAATCTAATGTAAGTGTGGAAATTTCACTGAATTTCATGAATAAAGATTGTTTAAAAACACTTTAAAGCTAGTAATTACATGTAGGCTATAAAAGTCATACATTGAAATTGTTTATTTCGGACAAGGTCTGAGATTCTCCATCTCCCTGACACTGTCCTCAAAGGGCTATCACATGGTTTCATTAACGTCTTGACTTTCTCTCATTTTCCAATCTACTTTCTCTTTCTTGTGGCCTGAGAAAGGATATAGTGCGAGTCTTTTACAAAATGAATGTCTGTTTTGAGGGGGTTTCAAGACAGAAGACATTTTCTCTTTAACTCATCACCACCCTACCCAAACTACAAACACATAATTATTTTGATAATAAAAAGCAAAGCCCACCTCATTTAAACACAGGCATACCTCAGAGATACTGCAGGTTCAGTTTAGACCACCTCAGTAAAGCAAGTATCACAATAAAGCAAGTCATATAAACTTCTTGACTTTCAAGTGCATGAGAAAGTTATGTTTACACTATACTATGTGGTCTATAAGTGCACATAAGCATTATGTCTAAAAATGTATATATCTTAATTTAAAAAATACTTCATTGCTAAAAAATGCTAATAATCATCTGAGCCTTCAGAGAGTTGTAATGTTTTTGTGGGTAGAGGGTCTTCTGCAATGTTGAAGGCTACAGACTGATTAGTGTGGTAGTTGTGGAAGGTTTGGGTGGCTGTGGCAATATTTTTTTTTTTTTTTTTTGAGACAGAGTTTTGCTCTTGTTTCCCAGGCTGGAGTGCAATGGCGCGATCTCAGCTCACCGCAACCTCCGCCTCCTGGGTTCAGGCAATTCTCCTGCCTCAGCCTCCTGAGTAGCTGGGATTACAGGCACGCGCCACCATGCCCAGCTAATTTTTTGTATTTTTAGTAGAGACGGGGTTTCACCATGTTGACCAGGATGGTCTCGATCTGTTGACCTCATGATCCACCCACCTCGGCCTCCCAAAGTGCTGGAATTACAGGCTTGAGCCACCGTGCCCGGCCGGCTGTGGCAATTTCTTGACATAAGACATAAGACAACAGTAACATTAGCCACCTTGATTGACTCTTCCTTTAACAAAAAATTTCTCTGTAACACGTGATGTTGTTTGATAGCGTTTTATCCACGGTAGAACTTCTTTCAAAATTGTAGTCCCTCATCTCAAACTCCGCTGCTGCTTTGTAAATTAAGTTTATGTAACATTCTAAATCCTTTGCTGTCATTTCAACAGTGCTTCACCAGGGGTAGATTCCATCTCAGGAAGCCACTTTCTTTGCTCATCCATAAGAAGTAACTTATTGGTTCAAGTTTTATCATGAGATTACAGCAACTCAGTCAAATCTTCAGGTTCCACTTCTAGTTCTAGTCCTTCCCACCACATCTGCAGCTACTTAATCCACTCTAGTACTAAACCCCTCAAGGACAACCAGAAGGTTGGAGCCAATTTCTTCCAAACTCCTGTTAATGCTGGTACTTTTACCTCCTTCCTTGAATCACAAATGTTCTTAATGGCATCTAGAATGAGGAATCATTTCGAGAAGGTTTTTAATTTACCTTGCCCAGATCCATCAAAGAAATCATTACCTATGGCAGCTATAGCCTTACAAAATGTATTTCTCAACTAATGACTTAAAATTACTCCCTGATCCATGGGCTACAAAATGTGCATTGTATTAGCACACTTGAAAACATTTATTTCCTTGTACCTCTCCTTCAGAGCTCTTGTGTGACAAGGTGCTCTGTGAATAAGCAGTAATATTTTCAAAGAAATCAGTTTTTTGTTTTTGTTTTTTTGAGTACTACATCTCAACAGTAGGCTTAAAATATTCAGTAAACCATGCTGTGAACAGACATGCTATCATCCAGGCTTTGTTGTTCCTTTCTAGGGCACAGGCAGAGTAGAGTTAGCATAATTCTATGGACCCTGGGATTTTCAGGACGAGAAATGAGCACTTGCTTCCACTTTAAAGTCACCAACTGCGTAAGCCCCTAACAGGAGTCAGACTGTCCTTTGAAGTTTTGAAGCCAGGCATTGACCTCTCCTCTCTAGCAATCGAAGTCCTAGATGGCATCTTCCAATACCAGGTAGTTTCACCTACATTGAATACCTGTTTATTGTAGCCACCTTCATTAGTAATTTTGCTAGATCTGGATAACCTGCTGTAGCATTTACATCAGCACTTGTTGCTGATGCATTTTATGGAGACGGCTTCTTCCTTACACCTCATGGACCAACCTGTGCCAGCTTCCAATTATTCTTTTGTAGCTTCCTCACTTCTCTCAGCTTCACAGAACTGAAGAAAGGAAGGGATTCGCTCTGGGTTAGTCTTTGGCTAGAGGCAGTGCCATGGTTGGTGTGTTTGTTTTTTTGTTTTTTTTTTGCTTTCCTATCATTTGTATGTTCATCAGCATGACACTTTCATTTTCTTCAAGAACAGTTCCTTTGCATTCACAGCTTGCCTCTTTGGCACGAGAAGCCTCCAGCCTTTTGGTCGATCTCTGCTTTCGACATGCCTTTCTATGCTTAATCACTTCTAGCTTTCGATTTCATCTGAGAGGCATGTGACTCTTCCTTTCACTCGAACACTTAGAGGCCACGGTAGTAGTATTATTATAATTGGCTTCATTTCAATATTATTGTGTCTCAGGACATAGCAAGAACCAAGGAAAGGAAAAGAGATAGGAAATGGCTGGTCAGTGGAGCAGGCGGGACACATACAATGTTTATTAATTAGGTTTGCCATCTTAAGCATGGTTTGTGGCACAGCAAAACAAACACAATAGTAACATCAGAAATACGTGATCACAGATCACCATGACAGGCATAAAAATAATAAAGCTTGAAACACTGCAGGATTGCCGGAATGTGACAGAGACACAAAGTGAGCACATACTGTTAGAAAAATGGGCCTCATAGACTTGTTCCACACACGGTTGCCACTAACTTTCAACTTGTTAAAAAAAAAAAAAAAAGAAGCAGTATCTGCAAAGCAAATAAAATGAAACACAATAAAGGGGTTCTATCTGTAATATCATACCATATTTTCTCCCCTTTATCTGTTCATAATTTGTCTTGTAACTTATATTGCTTTCCTACGGCTCTCGTAACAAAGTACCACAACCTCAATAGTGGAAAACAACAGAATTGTATTCTCTCATATTTCTGGAGGCTAGAAATCCAAAATCAAGATATCAGTAGGGCCACGTTATCTTTGAAAGCTCTCTGGGAGATGTCATCTCACACCAGTTAGAATGGCGATCATTAAAAAAATCTGGAGACAACAGATGCTGGAGAGGATGTGGAGAAACAGGAACACTTTTACACTGCTGGTGGGAGTGTAAATTAGTTCAACCATTGTGGAAGACAGTGTGGCAATTCCTCAAGGACCTAGAAATAGAAATTCCATTTGACCCAGCAATCCCATTACTGGGTATATATCCAAAAAATTATAAATCGTTCTACTATAAGGACACATGCACATGAATGTTCATTGCAGCACTGTTTACAATAGCTAAGACCTGGAACCAACCCAAATGCCCATCGATGATAGACTGGACAGGAAAAATGTAGCACATATACGCCATGGAATATTATGCAGCCATCAAAAACAATGAGTTCGTGTCCTTTGTCTCGGAGTCCCTTGGCTTGTAGATGTGTTATACAAATCTCCACCTCAGTCATCATATGGCATTCTCCCTGTGTGTATGTCTTTACTCGGGCATCTTTCTTTCATTTTACAACCCTTTGGTCAATTTGGAAATATGGATTTCTTATAAGAATAGGAGTCAAAAAAAAAAAAATAGGAGTCATTGGATTTAGGGCTCATCACATGATTTTTTTTCCCGATTTTTGTGAAGAATGTCATTGGTATTTTGATAGATTGCACTGAATCTGTAAATTGCTTTGGGAAGTACTGTCATTTTAATAATAACCATTTTTCCAATTCATGAGCATGGAATATATTTCCACTGTTTTTATGTCCTCTTCAATTTGTTCCATGAGAGTTTTAGTTTTCCTTATATATAGTATTTAAATTAAATACTACATTATAAATAAAATACTAAAAATTACAAAATACCTTGGGTAATTTAAACACTAAATTAAGTTACATTTAATTTTTAAATTTTTTGGTGTTTAGTATTTTAATTCCCTAGGTATTTTACATTTTTTGTGGCTACTGTAAATGTGATTAATTTTCTTGGTTTCTCTTTCAGATTGTTCACTATTGGAGTATATAAATGCTACTGACTTTTGTGTATTGATGTTTTATCCTGCAACTTTACTTGCTTATTAGCACTAACAATCTTTTTGTAGTTTTCAGGTTTTTCTAGGTATAAGATTATATCATCTGTGAACAGACTAATGTTACTTTTTGCTATCCAATTTGGATGCCATTTACTTCTCTCTCTTGCTTAATTGCT